CGCAGGAGAGGACCCGTACCTGGGTCTCCTGAACCTCAGGAATACCCCACAAGAAGGGATGGACACGAGCCCGGCACAGCGTCTGATGAGCCGACGGACAAGGACAGGAGTGCCAACGTCTAAAGCACTTCTCCAGCCCAAGCAGAACATCAACCAGAAACAGCGACTGGAAGCCAGGAAAGCTGCCGCAAACGACAGGCACACCGGCAGGCGAGAACTGCGACCCCTACAAGTGGGGGAACCGGTCCGAATGCAGCCAATCGACGGCAGAAACTCGTGGAAGAAGGCTGTCGTGACTAGCATGCTCAAGCCGAGGAGCTATGAAGTAGAAAGTGAAGACGGTGTCATCTACCGTCGAAACCGTCAGTTCCTACGAGCTACGCAGCCGACGACGCCACAGCAGCGCCACACGACAGCCCAGGCAGCAACAAGGAACGGGGCGGAACATCAGCCTACTCCGACGCGAGCCACCACGAGCGAGCAACCGGCCGCGCATTCCGAGCCAGTTGGAGAGAGCGCTGTCGCCTCCAACTGCACCAGGTCAGGGCGACGTGTCCGTCCTCCTCTCAAGCTGAACCTGTAGTGGTTCAAACTTAAAGGAGAGGGATGTTACGTGATGCACGTAATATGGCAGTGTTTTAGTGTGTGATTACTTGCCTGTCACAGATGCGCCAAAAGTGTAACGTTTGGTTCCCGCTCGAATCTTTGTTTTTGTCTTGATCTCCCCGCTATGCTAAATGCTCTGAGATAATAGAATTCGCTGTTGAAGTCCACGCCTCTTTCTCGGTACTGAGAGCCCGAGAACGATACAATTACCCTTAATCGTATTTGTCGGAAATGGCGCTTACGCGCTTTGTGACAAATGTGGCGCATTGCAGCAAACGTGGCGCATTTTCACCCGGTGATTGAGCATGCATCTTTGCACCTAATTGCGCCCATATCGGACCATATTTAACAAAACTGTTCGATTTGCGGCAAAAATGACGCCCTGAGATAATTGTGGCGCATTGCGGCAAATGCGGTGAATTTGTAAAATCGTATCACAAACTGTTCCCATCGAACGAAAATCAACACATTCTCTCGCCACTTTTTATTCAAATTAAAAACTTGCCCATCCGCCAATGCGAGGCACCCGCCACCGATCGGCATGCATTTAGTGCACAAAGTTTGTCGACCCCGGCTCTCAATGAAGATCTACGAACCGATCAAAATTTCATTGGCGTTCTTCCAGCGCGCGCCACGCGCGAACCGTGCACCCCAGCGAGTCGAAACCTAGAAAAGGCGCTGACCCGCTCTGTCACCTAGAAGGTGTGCAAATTTCAACCTCCTACGATATACCGTCTGCCCTGTAGGCGAGGTTAATTGAACCCACTACACGATGTGCGGACACACAGACTCACAGACAGACGGATTCTGTTAGAATAGTAAGTTAGACAAGCGGCTGCGCCACTTGCTTCGCGGCGTAGCGATAAAATACGGCAGCAGCCAATTTGCTTTCGAATGGTGTTTGATTTAAATTGATCAGTCGTCTGGAAGCAGAGATATGGACGGAAACGTGCAGAGGAAAATTTTGAACATAATAACTTAGTTGGATGAAATTTGGATCATATGGGGTCAAGTCAGGTCAAGTTGGCCATCCCTGGTCACACTGGGTCAGGCCAGGTCACCTTCGGTCAGGCCAGGTCGTATAGGTCACCATCGTCACATTGGATCGGCCTGTACCACACTTCTACTACTTCTACTCATACCACTACTCCTACCACTATCCCTACCACTACCCCTACCACTACCCCTACCACTACCCCTACCACTACCCCTACCCCTACCACTACCCCTACCACTACCCCTACCCCTACCCCTACCCCTACTACTACCCCAACCACTACTACTACCCCTACCACTACCCCTACCCCTACTACTACCCCTACTACTACCCCTACCACTACCCCTACCACTACCCCTACTACTACCCCTAACACTACCCCTACCACTACCCCTAATACTACCACTGCCCCTACCGCTACTCCTACCAATACTACTACCACAACACTACCACCACTATCGCTGGGTCATGTGAGGTCACAGACTATCATATAAACTGATGAACTAAAAAAAGAGTTCCTAACCCTGCTCCTACTCGTGTCATTTCATTATTCTTATTCGTATTTGGTTGAAATGGCGCCTTGTGACAAATGTGGCGCATTGCGACAAAAGTGGTGCATTTATTCCTTTCGTTTTGCCATGCATCCTTCCACCGAATTGCACCTTTATCGGACCATATTTGACAAAGTTGTGCGATTTGCGGTAAAAATAGCGCATGTGGACAAATGTGGCGCACTGCGGCAAACGCGGTGCAGTCGGTTAAGCGCATTGAAAACTGTCTTTATTTACCGAAAATCAACACCTTCATTCGCCTCTGTTTATCAAAATAAATAACTTGGCCAATCTGTAAATGAGAGGCACCCACCGCCGATCGTCATGCATTTTATTGTCAAAGGCGATTGAACCCGGCTGCCGATGCCTTGAGATCCGAGCAAAATTTGGAGAAAAAACACCTTTTTCCAGCGCGCGCCACGCGCAAACCGTGCACCCCACCGACTGCAGACCCAGCAAAGGCACACGCCCGAAGCGTCGTCTACGCGGTGCGCAAGTTTCAGCCACCTCCTCGCAACCGTTTGACCTCCACGCACCGATAACTGACCCCATGTCACCGAAAATTTCACCAAAACTGCGAACTGCAATATATTGGGGAGACCAAGTGCGGACAGACAGAAAGACAGACAAACAGACGGACTGATCTCAAATAGTAATATAGACAAGCGGCTGCGCCACTTGCTTTGCTGCGTGGTAGGAAAAATTGCGGCACCAGCCAATTTGCTTTCGAATGGTGTTTGATTCATGTCGATGTGTCTTCTAGAAGCATAGATATGGACGGAAATGTGAAGAGAATTTAAAAAAAGAACTGTTCTGAGGGCGTTGTTGGATGAAATTTGGGTGATACGGGGTCAAGACGGGTCAAAGGGGTCAGCCCCGGTAACTTTGGGTCAGGCCAGGTCACATAGGTCACCTCTCGTCCGCTGGGATCAGCCCGGGCCACTGTTCTGCTTTTGCCTCCACCACTACCCCTACCCCCTACCACAACCCCTACCACTACCCCTACCCTACCACTACCCCTACCCCTACCCCAACCACTACCCCTACCACTACCCATACCACTACCCCTACCCCTACCCCTACCCCTACCCCTACCCCTACCACTACATCTACCCCTACCACTACTACTACCCATACTCCTACCCCTACCACTACCCCTACCCCTACTACTACTCCTACCACTACCCCTACCACTACCCCTACCCCTACCCCTACCCCTACCAACACCGCTGGGTCATGTCAGGTCACAGAATAATTGGATCCAATCAGTACTAAAATATCTGACTTAAAGTGTTCCCAGCCCTGCCCCTATTCGTGCCATTCCATTACGCTTAATTGTATTTGTCGGAAATGGCGCTTTGTGACATGTGGCGCATTGCGACAAACGCGGCGCATTTTCACGCGGCGATTGAGCATGCATCTTGGCACCAAATTGCACCCATATCGGACTATATTTGACAAAACTGTGCGATTTGCGGCAAAAAAGACGCCCTGAGATAATTGTGGCGCCTTGCGACAAACGCGGTGCATTTGTAAATTCCTATCACAAACTGTACCCATTTTGCGACAATCAACACATTTTTTCGCCACCATTTATTAAAATTAATAATTTCACAATCCGCCAATGCGAGGCACCCGCCACCGATCGGCATGCATTTAGCTCACAAAGTTTGTCGACCCCGGCTCTCAATGAAGATCTACGAACCGATCAAAATTTCATTGGCGTTCTTCCAGCGCGCCCCACGCGCGAACCGTGCACCCCAGCGAGTCGGAACCTGGAAATGGCGCTGACCCGTTCTGTCACCTATAAGGTGTGCAACTTTCAACTTCCTACGACATACCGTCTGCCTTGTAGGCGAGGTTAATTGAACCCACTACACGATGTGCGGACACACAGACTCACAGACTCACAGACGGATTCTGTTGGAATAGTAAGTTAGATGTGAATTCATTTTCGTATGGTGAAAATATTTAGCCACACGCTATGGTTAAATTCGCGGTTAAAGCTATCGTCCAGCTTTTCTTTTCAGCCTACTTCTGCTTCAAAACCGTCGACTAGCAGCAAACCTATTTACAGCGTTACCGGATCAGGGACCGATTCACGTTGGCGCACTAAGGCCCTAGTGACACTTGATTTCAAGCGTCACTAGGCGATTTCGGTTCGCGCTGAGCCACTAGCCGATTGGTGTAAAATACCGCTTAGTGTCACTACATTCAAGTGTCACTTGGTCGCCTAGTCTTACTAGCTTCCTAGTGCGCCATCTCGAATCGGCCCCAGAGCCAAACTTAAAAGTTTATTTATCGATCAAATATAAGCTGCATGCAGAACTCTTAAACTTTGAACGCACCTTTTTCATCTTATTCTGCACCATTGTAAAGGCGTCCGTATCGTTCAGACTTCGAGCCATGTTGTCAAGGTGAAAGATAGGTTTAAGGTGGAAGGTGGAGGGTGTTCACTGATGGGTGTTACCATCAGCCGTGTCGAGCGGAGGTGTCGTCGTGCCACGACAAACATGTGACGCAGAGTTGTTACGCTGTGTAGAGTGGAGGTCCCGGTGTGTCACGTATGCCCCACCTGTGCCAGCTACCCTCCTGTACCCTTCCAGGTACCGTCTGACCGCCCCGCTGACAGTTCTTTGACCCACTCGCGCGCCGCCCGTACCCTCCCGTACCGCTGTCCACCCGTCGTCTCTGACCTTCCCGTGGTCCGCCTGCAGGCGGCCGGTATATACCCTCCCGTACTGAATGACTCGTGGTCCGCCCCCGTGCGGCCTGTGCCGTCCCCTGCTGACTGTCCTGTGCCGCCGGTGCCACCGGCCGCTGACCGCCCCTCGCTCCGCCCGCAGGCCGCCGGTGCCGTCTCCGCCGCCGTCGCCGTCGCCCACCGCCTCTCCGGAGCCGACAGAGGAGGCGGCGCCGGCCGAGCCGGCCGCTGCTGCCGAGCCCGGTCGGCCGGTCCAGTCCGGCGCCCAGTCTCACGGCGTGCTGCGCCCCTCTCCCGCCGAGGCCCCGCCGCTGGTGACCCCCGACAGCGCGCCGGCCGTGCTCACCGCCGACGGCGCCATCCCGACCGTCGAGGAGGAGAGCACTCAGACGAGCACCACGGCCGTGCCGCGGCCCGCCTCCGAGACTCTGCCGGACCGCGAGCGGACGCGGCTCGGTCCGCGACCGTCCACCGCGCCCGCCGGGCCGGACACCGCCGGCCGGCTGCGGCGCCCGCCCCGAGGAGGCCCGGCCGCCGGCGGCAGTGGAAGGAGCAGTGAGCTCAGCATCCCGGCAGCGAGTGCGCTGAGCTCTCCGAGGGACAGTGCGCCCAGCACGGCGGACGCCAGTGCTCTCAGCACGGCCCGGGCCAGTGTGGTCAGTGTGCGGGACGCAGCGGACGGGGTGAGCGCCGCCTCCCGGACCGATTGGAGCAGCCGAGGCACCTCGGCAGGGTTCGGCCCGACGCCGCGCGTCGGCGACAGTCCGGTGCCTTCAGTGACGCTCACCACGGACGGGGAGTCGGCCCCCGGGTCGGCGGACCCCAGCCGACGCTCGTCGCTCTCGACGGACCTCGAGAGCCGAGCCTCCACGGGGCTGACGACAGTCGAGGGTAGGGAGTCGGAGCGGCCGGGGACAGGGGCGCGGAGCGATCCGCCGCCGCCGCCGGAGGACCGCAGCGAGGCCGAGCCGTACACTGAGGAGGCCGACTCGCTGGTGGACGACTCGTCGGGCGCGCTGCTGCTGCCGGGAGCTCACCACCGGCGGCGGCACGACACCGACTCGTCAGAGGAGGAGACGTCCGGCGCGCGACAGACGCCGCCCTCGGGCGCCGACGACACCACGCCCTTCTACTAGACGGCCCGGGCGGTGACGGGTAGGTACCCGGAGGGGCGGCCACGCCGCTCGGCGGCCCGCGCGCCTGAGTTACTGCGGCACTGCCGCCCGCGGCCTGCGGCGCTCTGGAGGCCTTGCACTATCTGTAATTGTTACGGGTGTGTTGAGATTTGTTATCAGTGCAGCTAATCATCGTCAAGCGGCCATTGGGAGGGTATATTTCCGTCCAGCCAGGGTCAAGTGCGGAACGGGACGACTTAATTCATTCGTGAGCAAAGTGCCAGAACGTTTAGGGTGGAGATTTTGAACTCGTGGCCCGGAATGTTTTAGCGTTAATTTGAAACTCGTGTATGGCTCGTGTATTTTACACTGGTCACACGCCTGGTGCTCTTGGTGTACGTGATGTGCCTCATACACGTATTATGCACCGGCAGAGATATATCCGAAGGCAGGCATATAGCTCGACTCATGTCAGCGGCCCGGAGCCTGCGGTGGGTGTGTATTGTGAACCTGCGTGTGTATGTGTGTTCGCGTGTATGAACTTCACAATTCATGCTGTTATCATGGGCTTCCTAAGTGCGCCGCGCATCCTCCTTGGTATTTTGTATACTCTTGCGTTCTTCAATCCGGTTGTTCGTGTGTACTATCGATTCCGGACACATAAGTTATCAAATCGTGTCACCATATGTCGCGTGTTATTATATTTCATCAGTCTCCTCATTTACGGCTTGTTAATGTGCATGTTACGCATCATTTTAGGTCCAGATAATCTTCTAGCTCTCGCACTTCAGAGTACGGCACAATCAGACATGACATTCGGGATTGTGATGAAGCGCCGACGCCTTCGGCCCTATCTGTGTGTCTTGGCCCGGACCAAGCACTGCCTGTGCGGTTTGGCTATCTGCCAGTGCCATAGTTGTGTCTCTGTATGTGTATCAGTCTTGTTGCGTCTGCACCGAACTGTTCGGTGCGCCGCCGATTTCACTGAGGCGTATAAAGTGTGGCGATGCCGGCTGGTCGAAGGGTTAATACACACGGTATCTTTGTATGCCGGCTCTGTGATTGGCATGGAGCTCCAGAAGGCCAGTAGTTGCTACGGAACTGAGACTGCTTAGTATTCAACTACCTCGCGGATCTACGGCTTTGATTGAAGGCGCTAAATTGAAGCGGACATATCGCCTGAATTTCTCACACCTGTTGCTTGAACGTAGAGGCACTGAACGTGGTTCGTCCCGTGCGACGCGCTCATTGGTGATCCGACCGGGATGTGACGTGCCCCGGGTCACGTGCCACAGGGGCAACATGTGGGTGGAGTGGGACGGTGCGTTCGCTGAGTCTACGATCGATTTAGGATAGATAATAGGAAGATAAGATAATCTGAAGATAGATACTAATAACGAACGGTAAAGAGGGCTGATATAGCATCTCAAGCCCAGCGCCGTTAATTTCAGCGATCGCGTGTCGGGCCCTACTACGCGCCTTTAGGCCCCGGCGGGCCCGTGGGCTGTGGTTGGCCCACTTAGTATCGCTACAAAAGTGGCTCCAGATATAAAATCGATTATGCAGATTCTCTGGGGCTCCGTCATGGCTTACTGCCCTCACAAACTACTCGTATCAGCACCTGAGTTCAGGTGAAACAGGCATACAAAAGCGACATTCGCCAGTCATTTGGAGCCGTCTCCGCTGTGAAATATTCATCTGTATGCTCCATGATGACTTGCATTGCCGAGTGGCAGCGGTAGCCACCCGCTGAGAGCGATTATAGAGACCGGCGCCGCCGGCGGTCGGAGGGCGCCGCGGGCCATTTGAGAGCTGTCAGGGGCGGCGCCCGCGGGCGCCCCGGGGCGGCCATTTCACAGCCCGCCGACGAACGGGGCAACCGGTTCGGTCCGGTTAGCTCCGGCTCGATCCGGCGAGGGCTGCATCGACCGCCCGAGGCGGTGTGACCGGTCGGCCGTCCGGCGCCCTCCCGGTCTGTCCGGGATATAAGCCGGCCGACGGGCGCCTGACAGGAGCGGCGCCGGGGTCCGGTGAGGTCTGAGACTCAGAGTCGGGTGAGGTGGAGCAAGTGGTCAGGGTGGGGGCACGCGCTGACTCCTCCGCTGCCTGTGAGATGCGTCTGACCTGTGTCCGAGCTGGTGGGCTCACCCTGAGCTCACTGGTGTCCCCACCGCGCGGTAAGTCGAATGGCGGCGCGAGCTCACTGCTCAGCCAGGAAAAATCGATAATCCCCTCACCAACACCCTCGTCAGCCGAGCGTAAAATCAGGATGCCGGAGGAGGAGGGCCGGGGTTAAGATCTGAGCCTTTTTGGCAGAGGTACAAGTTACAATATAGTTGTTTTGTCGCATTGGCAAAGCAAGCAGCGCAAGAACGAGAACCGCCGCACAAACCTCCGAAGAATATTTTCATTCGATATCGTCATGATGAAACTATGTAAATCAGTCATGGTTTAGCTTGGAGGCCCGATATCTGTAAGAGTTATGCATTGGATAGTTAACGTCATCATCAGAATTGGATTGGAAATTTGCTCTCAATGTCACCCGTCAGAGCGAGCTTCGGTCTACCGTACGTTAACCTACTCGCAACAGCCCCGGACTGCCCTGTATCATTCTAGTCTTGTACAACATGCAATTAAAATCACTAAAACAGAGCGTTCAGGTAAATATATTTCATGCGTGGTTCTGGCCCCTGGCGAACAGTGAAATATCACTTACAACATACATTTGTATCTGATATGACGGATGCTTAACAATGTGAAAAGAATGACATCGACATTACCATACCAATTCTACGGAATTCAATTGAATTAAATTCAGGTTGTATTAAACTGACCCTGCTCGATTACGACAAAAAAAAAAAAAGGCGTGAAGAAATGATCGTAAGAATCATGGCGTGATATGCGACATTCGTATTCGTATTCAGCGTCGAGCTTCTATTTAGCCGACGATTGGTAGGCAGCAGACACCATAGAGATTGAAAAAGATCGGCACGGCATGTACAATGGCATTTGTATAACACATGTCTGAATTGATTAATTGTTAAATAACATAAAGTAGCGAACGGGATAGCAAGTAGATAACTTGGTTCAGAAAACACTGAAGGGCGCCAAATTAGCCAGATTTGGTGCTCAATTGCTGAATCAACATGCACTGGTGTCATCCATAAGCAATGCATCAAACATTTCCATCATGAAAGCGATGATACAACCATTCTTTCGGCGTAAAAGCTCATTTATGATTTATTGTCGCCTTTTAGTTAAGCGATATCTAAAACAATGTTAAAATATTTGTAAATATCTTTCCATAGCTCATTTTTCAAAATGCAAACAAGGCATACGATCACTCAGCACTTGCTCACACTACATCATTGCGCGGTTGAACAAAATAATTTAACGATATATTCTAAAACAGTTCAATCACAAGCAGATCACAGTCCAATGGCAGATGTCGTATCATTCGCAACAAGTCTCAGCAACAACACATTTAAATGCACCTAGAGAGCCCCGGGCCCGGACAGAACCATCAGTGACTGCATTTCAAGGCCATCCTGAGCAGACCAAGCCCAAGGAGACTCCCGGAGACCCCTCTCGTGAGGCCGCCTCCACCGACCCGCCACTCGCCTCCGCCGCTATCCGTGCCTCCCTTGGAATGGTGCGCTTCTCTCACCCGTCCATCGCCTCCCTCCCTCCCCTCCACTCGGTCCCGGCTATCCAGCCCGTTAGGGTCGGAATCCGCATGGCGACGGGCTCCGCCCACACACTGAGGGCTTGGGACGGACAGCCAAACAATGCGGTAGTCTGTGATGGGGACCCGGACACTGCTGCAGTCTGTGGTGGGGACCCGGACACTGCTGCAGTCTGTGGTGGGGACCCGGACACTACTGCAGTCTGTGGTGGGCACCCGGACACTGCGTTAGTCTGTGGTGGGGACCCGGACACTGCTGCAGTCTGTGGTGGGGACCCGGACACTGCTGCAGTCTGTGGTGGGGACCCGGACACTGCTGCAGTCTGTGGTGGGGACCCGGACACTGCTGTAGGCTGGGACCGACAGCCCCACACTGCGGTAGTCTGTGGTGGTGACCCGGACACTGCTGCAGTCTGTGGTGGGGACCCGGACACTGCTGCAGTCTGTGGTGGGGACCCAGACACTGCTGCAGTCTGCGGTGGGGACCCAGACACTGCTGCAGTCTGTGGTGGGGACCCGGACAGCGGTAGTCTGTGGCGGACAGCCACTCACTGCGGTAGTCTGGGACGGACAGCCACTCACTGCGGTAGTCTGTGGTGGTGACCCGGACACTGCTGCAGTCTGTGGTGGGGACCCGGACACTGCGGTAGTCTGTGGTGGGGACCCGGACACTGCTGCAGTCTGTGGTGGGGACCCGGACACTGCGGTAGTCTGTGGTGGGGACCCGGACACTGCTGCAGTCTGTGGCGGACAGCCACTCACTGCGGTAGGCTGGGACGGCTGAGCAGGGTCGCGGAGTCCAGCTCTTCGATCTCACGGTCGCGGGCGGTGGTCAGTGGTGAACCCGTCGACCCGGATCGGTCCGAATCGGGCGAGTCACTGCACTGGTTTCACTGTCAGAGTCGCAGGCAGTGGTCACTGGTCTGCCCGGCGACACGGGTCCAACGAGGATCACTGCACTGGCTTACCCGTCAGAGCCGCGGGCCCGCCAGAGCCTCAGATTATTGTTCTATCCGTAGGAGCCGGGAGCCTGCCCGTCAGAGCCTCAGGCTCGGCCTGCCCGTCAGAGCCGCGGCCCCGGCAGGGTGCAGAGCGCGTCGTGGACCGGCAGTGAGATGGCGCCTGCCACTGCGATGCCCATGGAGTCGGCCAGAGACACGGTGCCCATGATAAACTCCCGCTCCCGGCCCGGAAACTGCCGGACAGAGGTGCCGATCAGTTAGACGCACATGACAGACAGGAGGTGGGCACTGCACGAAAGGTAGCCATACTGCGTACAACAGCTGAGTAGAACGAAACGATCACCACCCACCATAGTTTGTTCCGCGTGTTATTTTTGCATCCTACATGTCACAACCCGGTAATCGCCTCTATAAATGGCTGCAGCGCATCCACAGAAACACGTTATTTATTTCCCGGAATAGCACATGACGTTCAGCCGGACATCCGACAGCGCATCGAGAACCTACGTTATACTCCGGCTTTGCAACACGAACCGCGCCAACTCTGTGGATACCTATGACCAGAAAAAATGCATGCACTGCAATCCCAGTGACCGAAAGCAGACTAAGCACCTACATCGGAAAGGTATTGAATGTTTCGGCGAAGTTATAAAGCCAACCGGTGTGGCAAACATAGCAGCGGAACGGGCGCCCAAAGTTTGGCAATGTCGCCATAAAAATACAATAAAAGCCTGATCATCCAGAAAAACCGTTGAGTTCAATGGTATTGCGGATTGTTTTAAAGAATCCCGGCGGTCTGTTACGATGGAAGTGGCGAGATGATTTGCATCGAATGTCAGCAGGAACAGCAAATATAGCCCAGCCTGTTCTATCCGGAGACAAACTATTGTGTCACAAAATCTGGCCTATGGATACGTTACAGTCTCATAATCGCCTCCTTTAAAAACGTGAGCGCCACACGCATAGGTGGTCAGCTAACATAAAGCACGGATAATTAAGGCAGCCACGAACCCCGCGGAAACCAATGCCCCGTCAGGCTTCACCGGAATCCTAATGCATGTGACCACGTGAGCTGAATAGGGCTGAGCCACTACTAGGTCGGAAGTACACAGACTCGCCGCATCCACGCGTGTTATTGAACACGGAGGCTGGGCGGCGGCGGCTGCGCATTTTACAGGTCCCAATTACATACAGGTCCCTCCGGTCACGCGCACACATTAATGGCTCGGGGCGGCCTCTGTGGCGCACCGGGCGGTCACGTGACCTGTGTTTTGAGTCAGGACGCGCGCCGGGACGAGGACAAGGTAATATCTACGAGAAGTCGCGGCGTACAGTCGCGGGCCTGGTAGCACACGTGAAAATATACTAATGCAGTCAAAATGGGAAATCATTTTTGTCACGTACCAAGTTAGCCATTTTAGACTTCGCGACATAAGCCCCGGGTTCGGAGTCTCGCGGACGAGGAAGATTCTACGTCGTCCGTCCGGCCAATGCCGTTCGAGGTTAGCGGGGGCTTGGCTGCGGTTATCGAACGGGATTGGCCGGACGACATAGAATGTTCTTCGTCCGAGAAGACTGCGAACACGCCCTAAATTCACCGTGAGAGTATTTTACCGATGCTCAAACGCGCCAGTTCGGCCCGGTCGGCCGCCCTCCCACCCAGGCCCCTCCATTTCTCCGCGGCGGACATTACCTTGTGGTAGACGGAGTAGAACGTATTGACGTAGGCGGCTCCGCCCAGCACGCCCTCAAAGAGAACCAGGGCCACCACCAGCCAGTAACTCGGCAGGAACAGGTAGTACGCCTCGTAAAAGAAAAACACCGCGTTCGCCATCTGAGGACGGAGGCATATTTGAGGCCGTCAGAGAGGATCGCACTGAAACACGTACACACAGCACATTCAAAGTACACAGGTGAGCTGACTGCACTGAAACACGTATTACACGGTACTCACACGTAAGACACGTCGCCGGCCGCGACAAACAATCCTCACAGCACACGACTTGCGCCAGAAACAGTTGATGAGGTAGGATTGAAAGCACCTTCGAGAAAAACAGCGATAGCCAAATAACGTCGCAAGCGGACCGACATTCGGTGGCGCAGCCGGCGGCCGCACTGAAACTTTGAATAGGCGGCTCCCAAAGAACGGCTGATGGTAAAAGTGAAGCCGGCTTTAGCTACAACTGAAATGGTTGGCCAAACTGTCATTTCACAGCTAAGTCACAACGTTCTATTTTGAGTCAGCAGACTAACAAAACCAGAGCCCGTGTTAAAAAGACCTTGTTGGTCAGACCTTGGTCTCTACTGCACAACAAGTCAACATCGTAAACTGCGTCAACCGCCCACCACTGTGAGACCCCTACTCGCCTGCAGAGCGGTGAGGATCCAGATGCGCTCGATGTGAAACACGTTGACGGAGGAGCGGGAGAGGAACACGCCCACTTGGTAAATCACCTGCAGCCAGCGGTACTGATCGCTGTGGGACAGCCAGATGTCTGCCGGGACAGCGGGGGGGGGGGGGAGTTAGTTCACACACCACCTGCAGCCAGCGGTACTGATCGCTGTGGGACAGCCAGATGTCTGCCGGGACAGCGGGGGGGGGGGGGGAGTTAGTTCACACACCACCTGCAGCCAGCGGTACTGATCGCTGTGGGACAGCCAGATGTCTGCCGGGACAGCGGGGGAGGGGGACAAGGGCGTCGAAACACACACAGTATACATACAGGGTAAGTACACATGAGGTGGGCGACAGGCCTCTCGCAGCGTTTCTTTCTTCTAACCAGAATGTTGAGCTACTGTCCCATCCAAGCAAACCAACGATCTATTTCGCCGTGACTCCAGTACGCTGACGGGCGCCTCCCGGCCACTCACTTCTGAACCAGATGAGCTCGACCAGGCCCTGGTTGATGAAGTACTCTGCAAAGTAGACGAGTCCCAGAGGCACCATGAAGGCCGGCAGCAGCCGCAGCAGGGACAGCTTCTCCTGACGGCTGAGCGGTACGGAGGAGGCCGCGCTGCGCTCCGAGGACACGGAGGTGGACCGGGCCGGCGCGGCGGCCAGCCCGCAGCAGGAGCAACCCGGCGCCGACGGAGGGTGGCGCAGCAGGGCCGTGTACCTGGGCAGACGGGACAGCGAGCGAGGCGTCAGATGGTGGCCCCAGCCGGCCGGGCAGGGATTCAGTGACCATAATGGGCGAAAGGAGGGAATCCAATTGGGGGCGCCACTGAGCCGACACCCGCAACCAGTGGTGCTGAAAGCGCCCTCAGCACTCAGCAGTCAGCACCCAGCAACCTCACAGTTCAGTAACCTCCCCCCCCCCCACCCAGCAGACGACCGAGTCTCCTCCCTCACTTACGTGAGCGTCATGATAGCCGGGCAGATCAGCATCACGAACAGGGTGTTGCGCGGCGACAGGCCGGCGCTGAGGAGCGCCGCGTAGCTGAACGATCCGAGCACACCCGAGAAGCCGGTGCCACTCGACCAGGTGGACACCACGTCACTGCCGGGCGCAGCGGCCGCGGGGGCAGTCAGCTGTCACGTCACTGAGTGTGGGTCAGGTCGGGCCATCATCTGCGGTCAACGGTACACATCTGAGGCTATCACTAGCTGATTATTAGGGCTTTAGGGCGCGTCACTGAGGTTACCACTCTCATCCTGGATAGTTTATGCAGGATGGCGACTCGCCGCACCCACCTGTGGAAGTGGGCTGAATAGGCCAGGAAGGTGACCTCGCCGATACCGCTGCCTAGTGAGGCGGCCACCACGCCCGTGTAGGCCATGGCGGAGCTGACAGAGGCGCCGACCAGCAGGAACGACACGGCGCTGAACAGAATCGTCACCGCCACTCGGATACTGACGGAACGAGAGAGGAATGAGACGGTAAGAGCGACGCCAGTCGACGGACGGACAGAACCACAGCCAACGAGATGCATAAATACGCATAGCGCGTCACGACTGAGTAACGATAACACAAACAGCCACGACGGCTAAAAGCAGATATGAGCGCGGGTTTTGAACGTACGCTGCTGAATCTTTCCTTCCGAGAATTTCAGGCCGGGCCCTTTAACAGAAAAAATATAATTCCCAATGAACATTTGCCACCACCAGCTCTCTCATCTCGGCCTGCCTCGTCACTCAGCACTGCACCCACTGTGTGTGTACGTCGACGGCCGGCGAGACGAGTTTGGCCACCAGGGCCGGCACCACGTCCGCCAGCAGGATCGCCCCCGTCGACGTCAGGTTGCAGTCACGGTCGCCGCCGTCCTCCAGAAGTTCGGTCTGAGGGGCGGGGGAGCGGTCAGGTGGGGAGGACGGGGAGGCGGTCGGTTAGATGGCGCCACAGATTACACGGGAGGTCGGGACGCGTATTCGGGAAGGAGTAATGTGGCGCTACAGGTGAACGGGAAGTAATGGTTACGGAGGATGTGTGGGGGGGGGGGGGATACAGCCAGACAGCAAATGGCGCAGCATTTGGCCTTAATGTCCCGATCTAGATAGTTGGAAACGGATAATCCACTGTTCGTTAAATGGAAAACTACACCTCTGAGTCACGCTGCAGCATTCTTTTTATCAGACTCAAGATAAGGTCGCTTTCCGTTTTACTTTCCGGTATATCAATATCGTTACATGAAGTGTCGCTGTTAAGGCCCGGTTGCAAAAGAATGGCGTCCAAAGTCATCGAGAGCACAGTATAGACTCTAGAGGTGACACTCGAAGAACAGACAGCTGTTGTTTTGACAGACTTGGCAATATGAACTGATAGCACACGACAATGGAACGATTCCAATGAATTATAAATCGACAAGTCATAGATAACATGAATTCATGTTATCTATGGATAAGTTAATTGTAAAATGTGCGAAACAAGCACATAAACGTCGTAACCTCTGTAAACCGCTTCCAACCACTTGACATCACTGCGTCTTGTGAACCAGTGTGCCTTGTGAACACAAAAAAAGAGCAATTAACGCTTCCTAGAATGTGCCGTCTACATATTCTTCTATCGTTCAAGGCGACGAGTGATTATGATGGGGCCCATTACGCGGCGGTATTTGGTGAATTTCGCCATCGAGATCCGATAATGGTAGACTCACAGGTTATCGTACAGACAGAAAACTCACACGATTCTCGTTCAAGTGGTCCCTAATCCGACAGATTCGGGTCGATCCCACGCTGATCAGCGGATCGATATATGTGTCGACAGATGCTCAGATAACGAGAAAAGTGTCACACACAAAAACAACACCACTCCAACACAGCTGACACGCGCTAGTCAGGGACAATCGACATCGAGACGGGGGACCGTGAACGAACGAGCACTCGAATTAAGCAGAGCAGGCTACGCTGTCGAGCATTAACTGAGCTGGTTCCGACGCACAAAGTCCCCAATAATGAAATATCCTACACTTCTCGGTTTCGACTGTCGTGCCATACCCGCCCCCACCCTCCACATCACCGACTTTTGACTCACTGGACATTCGACCCACTAGGACGTAACCCCCCCATACCCCCCCCCCCCCAGCACGGACCTCCTGGAAGTCGTCTGAGAGGATGTCGTGCGCGGCGCTGAGCATGATGACGTAGGCATAGTTGTTGCAGAGTCCGAGCAGCCAGAAGCCGGCCAGGTTCCTCCAGCTGCGCGCCGGCTGGTTGGAGCTGGTCGAAGACCGCGCCGAGCGTCCATCGTCCGGCTGCTGGTCGATCGAGAACAGTTCTGCCGAGAGCGGGGAAAGGAAATCAGCTACCGTGGGCGAGGGCCCCGGTCAGCTCTGCCGCGGCCCGCGAGAGGAGCTACCGTCCACTAACACACCCCTCACGGCACACGCGGTATGCTCCTGGATACCAGCACTGCAGCGAGGCGGCAGAAGGCTCGCAAAGTCACCTCTGTACCCTCCGTCTCCCATCGCGCGGCGTCGGCCGTTACGGGTGGTATTGCGGCGTATTCGCGGAACTGGCTCCCCGCGGCGTTCACTACTGTGCAGACGGACGCAGGTGTTGGCACAGAAGGAGGGAGTGCGAGTGTGGGGGGAGGGGAGGGGTGGGGTGCAATAGTGAAACAAATCAATACCGTAAATACATGAGAACCTGAAACACCTTGGAACTTTTTATTCGGACTTCCTCCAACGGTACGGTACTTAGATACAGAGACAGGTACAAGTGGAGCGGACAAAATTACGAGTTGTCATGCTGAATGATGAAATTGTTCGGCGAACTGTTGCACAAAAGTCCTAGAAGTCTCGTGAGGAAACAAATACATCTCACGGTGTGACATGACGATATCGCATCTCTCGCATATAATGCGACAATGTACATCATCACTCTAGAGGACCAGACTACACGTACACGACACCGTTTGTGACGCCACACCGCCCCACGTCACAGGCCACCGGACACGTCTGTCTGGGATCACGTGGAGTCAGCGAACCCGCCACTCACCAACCGTGCTGCTCGTCGTCGGTATCGTCGCGTCGCCGGCGTCACCCATCCTGACCTCTGACCCCAGCACTGACCCTGCACCCACCCCCTCACTGTCGGCCTCGGTCGGCCCGTCAGACCCGGGTAGTGCCCCTCCTGCGCAGCCTGCGCTCTCCCAGACACTGGCGTGCTCTCACAGAACCGCAGGCCCTTATCTACACAGCCCCTGCTGATCAGAGCCGCCTATCTGACGCTCTCTAAGACGTCACAGAGCACTCTCACAAACAGCATGGGAGCACTCTAATGAATAGCATGGCAGAATCGTCGTATCTTTTGTACAACTGAAAGTTTTTAAACACTCACTTTGTTTCCATGACACGTCTAAATCAATTTAGTGAAATTTCACATGCGTTTTTCTTGGATACTTTTCACCTTATGCAAACAAATGAGAGCATACATACATGGCTTTAGCTAGCACCTCATCCTATGTTTACATTTTAAAATGATGCTTAAATGGTATGATGGAGCAAATCCAATTTGCAAAATCGGCTTAGCTTGTGCCATGGAAATGCAGCCAATGAGTGAAGTATGATGCCCTCCTCACATCAGTTATCTTGCTCCTTTGCTGGCAATGAGTGCAAGTAAAGTATCAAACATCTTACCTCAATCAAGCAAGCATTGTGAGTTGGGTTAAGCTTCTCACCTGCCTCTCATCAGTCTTTGCACAGCCAGAAGTTGCCCTTGCCCTGTTGTTTCTCGCCTGCTGGTTCTGTTACTCACCATCCTCTGAGGATTCTGCTGAGGACGTCAGAAGCGAGGCATACTGAACATGGCTGTCCTGTCGGCCAGCTAGCATCTCTGCAGCTCTTTATGTCTGTAGCCCTGTCAAGCGGAAGCCCGGTCAGACAGCCTGATGCAGTCAGCACTAAGGGCTAGCTTTTCAATGGAGTCCCACTCCCAAGCAAACATGCAGTGCAATTTCAATTTGTGAGAAACCTGATACACAATACTATTCCTGCAAACATGTTGTATATTTATGTGTTGCATGTGCAGGCTGTGGCATGGTGTTGCATGTGCTTTGCATGGTTTTTGAGCCTAATGCTTGGTTCCCTGTTTTCCAGCAATGTTGTGAATAAAAGCCTTCATTGAGGTTCATCGTTCATTACAATTTTATTCACAACATAACCTGCATGCTGCATGACTCTGGCAAATCAAGATGGACAAGTATCTCAAGCCCCCAGAACTCAACATTGATCCCAAATCGCCATCTGCTGAAGATGAGTGGGATATGTGGATTACAAAGTTTGGGGATTTCTTCAACTCCATCGATCCGGCCCTAAATCCCAACAAGCTCACGCTTCTTCGGGCTCACATGTCATGTGCATGCTATAAGCTGATCAAGGCGGCCACTACCTTTGATGAGGCTGTCGAGATGCTGGAAGCAAGGTTCGTGAAACCCCACAGTGAGGTCTATGCTCGCCACAGGCTCGCTTCTCGGCGACAGCAGGCTGGGGAATCACTTGACACTTATCTCGAGGAACTGGGGCTCCTGGCATCTCAATGCAAGTTTGAAGCAGCTACAGCTGAAAAAGTAAAGGAGGATGCCATACGTGATGCCTTCATCAATGGCCTGTCATCCAGTGCTATTCGACAGCGTCTTCTGGAGAACCTTCAGCTTGATCTGAAAACAGCTGTTTCTCAGGCTCGTGCTCTGGAGATGGCCCAGCAGCAATCTGAAATGTATCATAGAAACAGCAGTGATTCGTCACCAGTGACAGTGACAGCCCATGCTCAGTCTGATCCTTCTTCTGCAGAGGAGACAGTGCCATCCGCTCGAGGAGGAGAGGAAGTGACTGCAGCAGTTGAACGTACCTGCTTCTTCTGTGGTGGTCCACATCATGCTCGAAACAAGTGTCGTGCACGCAATGCTACCTGTTCAAGCTGTGGTAGGCAGGGGCATTTTGCCTCAGTCTGCCAGATGGGGAGATGGTCCAGAAGAGCACAACCGACCAAGGACCGGAGACAAACCACAGCTTCTATGCCGATACTGTCAGCAATGCATGAAACCTCTCTTCCGAGTCTACGGTCTGCTATGACACGTGTCACAATCAATGGTCAAGAGTTCGAAGCGCTGATCGACACTGGTAGCTCTCAGAGTTTCATCCGTACCCGGGTCGCAGAGGACGTTCACCTGAACATCGAACCCGCATATGGTACTGTGTGCATGGCCTCCACACAGCATCATGTCAAGGTGGCGGGGCAGTGTAGGGTGAGACTACGGGTTCAAGATGAATCATATGATGACTACCTGTTCTCTGTCATGGACGATCTGTGTGCACCTGTGCTACTCGGTCATGACTTTCTCAAGGCACACGAAAGCGTGTCCCTGACGTTCGGTGGCTCTCGATCCTCGCTCAGCCTGTGCTGTCTGACTCCCGCAGTGGTAACGCCACCATCCTTGTTCGGTAACTTGACGGAGGACTGTCACCCTATCCAGGCCAAGTCACGCCGCTACAGCGCCTCCGAAGTGAAGTTCATCGAGGGTGAGGTCGATCGTCTCCTAAAGGAAGGCATCATCTCTCCCAGCACCAGCCCATGGCGTGCTCAAGTTCTTGTGGTTGCATCTCCTAGCGGGAAACGTCGGATGGTTGTGGACTACGCCCAGACCATCAATCGCTTCACGGAGCTGAATGCTTACCCGCTGCCAAGAATCAACGAACAGGTTGAAAAGATCGCTCAATACTCCTACTTCAGCACGATAGACCTGACCAGTGCCTATCACCAGATCCCCATCGATCCTGAAGATCGCAAGTACACAGCTTTCGAAGCTGATGGAAGACTCTTCGAATTCCTTCGTATCCCGTTCGGGGTCACTAATGGGGTCGCCTGTTTTCAGCAGATCCTCGACGATGTCATCCGAGCTGAGAACCTGCGCGACACATTTGCATACGTCGACGACGTGACCATCTGTGGTCGCACCAGAGAAGAACATGACAGGAACCTGGAGCGCTTCATCGACGCTGCAAAGAAGTTCTCGCTGACGATCAATCAAGAGAAGAGTCAGTATGGCAAGACATCCGTCAGGATCCTGGGGCATGTGGTGGAGAACCGGACGATTCGACCTGATCCAGAGCGACTTCGAGCCTTGATGGAGCTGCCGGTGCCCGAGGACGCGAAGGCACTGAAGCGAGCTGTAGGCATGCTCTCACACTACTCCAAGTGGGTGTCGTCCTTCTCCGAGAAGCTCCGGCCGCTGATCGACGGCGACTGCTTTCCCCTGTCGCCTGACGCGGTCGCGGCGTACCAGCGGTTGAAGGAAGACATCGGTGCTGCTACCATGTCAGCGATTGACGACTACGCTACCTTTGTGGTAGAGACGGACGCGTCTGATAATGCGATCGCAGCCACTCTTACTCAGAACGACAAGCCGGTCGCCTTCTTCTCGCGAACGTTAAACCCATCAGAACGCAAACAGGCATCCGTTGAGAAGGAGGCTGCAGCCATAGTCGAGTCAATTCGAAAGTGGCGGCATCTTCTGATTGGACGCCACTTCAAGCTCATCACAGATCAACGCTCGGTCTCCTTCATGTTCGACCGCGCGAGCAAAGGACGCATCAAGAACGACAAGATACTGCGTTGGCGTCTCGAGCTGGCGTGCATGAGCTTTGAGATCGTGTATCGTCCGGGGAAGTTCAACACAGTTCCCGACATGCTATCCAGGGCTGTCTGTGGCGCAACCGCCACGGACACTGAAGATCTCATCCGATCTCTCCATGGACAACTCTGCCACCCTGGTGTAACGCGGTTGTGGCACTACCTCCGGTCGCGGAATGTGGCTTGTTCGGTGGATGATGTAAGGCGAGTCGTAACGCAGTGTAGAACCTGTGCACAGCACAAACCACGATTCGTCCATACCTCTAACACGCTTGTGAAGGCGACTAGGGTGTTTGAGCGATTGAGCGTTGACTTCAAGGGTCCCCTGCCATCAAACACTCAAAGAGCGTACATGTTTGTCGTGGTAGATGAATTCTCTCGCTTCCCGTTCGCTTTTCCTACTGCCGATACGTCTGCGGATTCGGCGATACAGTGTATGATGTCTCTGTTCACTATGTTTGGCACACCGGAGTTTGTACATTCCGATCAGGGCACCGCCTTCACGTCCTCTCGATTTAAGCAGTTTCTCCTACAGAACAGCATCGCCCAGAGCTTCTGTTCGGCATACAACGCCCCAGGCAACGGTCAAACCGAGCGTTACAACGGCATCATCTGGAAGTCTGTGTGCATGGCCTGTCACTCTGACAGCATCGACTTGAAAAAACTGGGAAACCGTCCTCCCCCGGGCTCTGCACAGCGTTCGTTCGTTGCTATGCACAGCCACGAACCAGACGCCTCATGAACGATTCTTCAAACATCCTCGAAGGTCAATCAATGGTCAAGCTCTCCCTTCTTGGCTGGTGACATCAGACAGGGTACTGCTCCGTCGGTTCAACCGCGCCAGCAAGTACGAGCCTCTGGTGGATGAGGTCGATCTTCTGCACGTTACTCCCACGTACGCCAAGGTCCGACTGCCAAGTGGTCGTGAGCCGACCGTCTCTATCCGTCATCTCTCGCCCATGGGAGGTGAGAGCGCTGGGGAGCACTGCCAGATGGGTGATCATCGATCGAGTGACACAGACGTGCCTCCTATCGACTTGCCCTGTGACCCTGTGTGTCCCGCTGAGCGTGGCGACTCGTCTGATGCTGTGTCCGTCTCTGCACCGGATGTTCATGATGTACCTCCCGAGATCTCGCCTGACTGTCCTGATACCACTGTAACGAATTTGGATCGGCCTCTGCGAAGGTCAACCAGGGTGAAGCAGGTGCCTGTTCGATTAATGGACTATCAGATGTGTAAGCCGTGACAGGCGAGCGTTTTGACATGGTGTGGCGAGGAGTTTGTCTTTGTGTTAGTATTGCTGAGCGTAGTTTTGGCACGCTCAGTCTTGAGGGACGGTGAATGTTGTATATTTATGTGTTGCATGTGCAGGCTGTGGCATGGTGTTGCATGTGCTTTGCATGGTTTTTGAGCCTAATGCTTGGTTCCCTGTTTTCCAGCAATGTTGTGAATAAAAGCCTTCATTGAGGTTCATCGTTCATTACAAAACAGGAATAAGGAAGAGATTTGTTGTCACTAAGGTTTTACAACACAAATGGTCATGGAATGAGAAGCAACTTCACAATGAATGAGCTTATTTTCATGAGAAGCGCATAAATCAAATGCAACAAGTGCGAGTTGCAACGCCTTCTTAGTTCTTTATGCCTACCCTGTTAACTGTTTGGTATGCAAGTACCGTAAGTACCTTAAGGCAGTTCTGATGCATTCGATTCACACCACGCTGGCACTTTTTTTATTCATGCATCTAAGTTCAATTTCTAACCTTCCAAGCGAGTGTTGTATCCAAGAATGCATAATAATAATAAACAAAAACAAATTGATGTAAACGTCTCATGGGCGCTGTTAACGTCTTTCAAAGTTACTTCCAGATCTCCCTTTATTGTTTGAAAATTTCCTGGCATATTTACTATCTATTATCGTTTGAAACGATGTCTATGATAGCTCAAAAACCATAGTTGCAAATTTTCAGATAAAGTTAAGTGGTAAAAATCAACTTAACACTTTGAAAAGAGACTGTAGTTAGCAAACAAGCCTCTTACCACAGGGGAATCCCTTCAAAAACAAAGTGTTTTCTTACCAACTGGTTCTCAAGGCCACAGAATTGGTATCACGGGTATCACGCAGGCATCACACTAGCAGCAGGGCCATTATTATTAGCAGGGGGGTTGCTTTGCATTGCGCTGGGCTGCTTTATTTTATTATTGTGTTATTATCTTTACTGGATTTAGATTGATTTTTTTTCTGGCTGGAAATGGACATATTAACAAAGCTCAAGGACTGGATTACTGTTCCAAGGTGTGTTTCATATAACTTTGGTAGGTACCTACCTAGCTAGCCATTCTGAAAAACAACTTAAAACTTCATGATACATTCTTTGACTTTGGCATATTCATAAATCCCTGCTAATATGCACTGCATATTAGTATATGATGATATTGAGTTATCTCACCAAATAACCTCAAAGCTGAAGTTGTTGCCATCAGTAGAGGCACCAGTAGACGTCTGCTGCAGACGTACTGTTAGGTTAGGTCAGGTCAGGTCAGGTCAGTTATGTTAAGGTTTTGTTAGAAAGAAGCACCTCCGGGTATAGCGCCTCTCATTGGCTGGGAAACCTTCATGTGACATCCGCCCTATCAATACCAAGTTGAGTGGGGTTACTGCGCATTATCATTAGGTGTATTGTAAGTACCTACTTATGTTTGCAATAATATACCCATGTACATCCTAGATTCATCCTTGTCAAACCATTTTGCATTTATATTTTCAGGCTGGGCAGTCTTACAGCTGCACCAAAGAGTCATGACAGCCAGGACACTGAGGATGACGGGGTGACATTTCCATCTGACCACATGACTCCAGAGGAGATGGAGCGTCACTGTCAGCAGCAGCTGAAGAGCCTGCCGCCACTGCTGACCCGCCAGCTTGTGGAATACCCACCGCCTGCGGAACAGTGCCTCACCGGCAATATCCGCATCATGCAATGGAACCTGCTGTCACAAGGTTAGGCTAGCATGCAGTGTAGGCATAGTTTCCTTTTATTAGTCAACTGGTGTGACAGACTGTGAAATGTGTGGACCCTGAAATGCATGGTTAGTCTGACTCCTAGCATTTTCTCAAACTGACGTGTGAATCCTTTGAAAGCGTGAAAAACACAGCCTGGGTTGGTAGAGCATGAGTCATGACACTACCCTGCGGGACGTGGTTGTGAAACTTACTTGTAAACTGTCTCTTGCTGTAAGATGACCAAAGCGATATGAGAAGGCAGGGAGGGAAGAGGGATGGTGCAGAGAAAGACAAACACGGAGAAAGACAAACGCTATAAACGCTAGGGAAAGCTTGCTGCTGTTATGGAGCCCGCACGCTACCCTTCGTTGACCCTTACTGTGCGTTACAGCTCTGGGTGTGCACAATGACAACTTCACTCAGTGTCCCGCCTGTGATCTGGACTGGGGTAACCGGCGCTACCGCATTCTGGAGGAGATAGCGCACTACTCCCCCGACATCATCGGGCTACAGGTGGGCCACTGAGCGACGCAACGATCTCTTAAACATCGGATAGCTCTGGTTGGACACTTGCTTATTCGTGTTTGCTGATGTTCTTTGAAAGCATCGATGTGGAAACGCTTAAAATGACTGAATACAAACATTTTACCCCCTCATGTCCCACTTGCCCTGCCTCAGGAGGTGGACCACTTCAAGTTCCTGCAGAGGGGACTCGGCACTATGGGCTACGAGGGCACCTTCTTCCCGAAGCCGAGCTCGCCCTGTCTCAGCATCAAGTCCAACAACGGGCCGGACGGCTGCGCGCTGTTCTACCGTACGGACCGGTTCGAGCTGCTGCAGACCGTGACCAAAGTCATCGACGTGTGGAAGGTGCAGAGCAACCAGGTACGGTGGAGTAGCTGTTCCACAAACATGAAAACCACGATAGACCGCTCAACCTTCTGGGTTTATTTTCGCAGCATTATGACCTGTCGGAAGTTGTTGCTGTGTAGATCCAAATCGCTGGCATTAACCGACTGTCGGTTTAAAATGTTCGTCTTGTTGTCGGAATATCTTCGTTCCCTCTCACTCGCCACTGTAATAACACCATGGTCGCCGTGCTAACTGCACCATTCTAACCCGATGTTACTCCACCGCCGTGCCGCCAGGTGGCAGTGCTGTGCCTGCTGCGGGAGCGCCGCTCGGGCCGCGAGCTGTGTGTGACCACCACGCACCTGAAGGCGCGGCCGGGCGCGCTCAACAGCGCCGTGCGCTTGGAGCAGGGCCGCGACCTGATGGCGTTCGTGGCGCCGCTGGCCGCCGGCCGGCCCGTGCTGCTCTGCGGCGACTTTAACGCCGAGCCGACGGAGCCGGTGTACGGCGCGGTGACGGGCGCCGGCCGGCTGCCGCTGGTCTCCGCCTACCGGCAGGCGGCCGGCGCCGAGCCCCGATACACCACCTGGAAGATCCGCGCCACCGGCGAGGTGTGTCACACGCTCGACTACGTGTTCATTTCGGTGGGACGGTTCGCGGTGACGGCTCTGCTGCCGGCGCCCACAGGCGAGGCGCTGGGCCCGCGGCGCGCGCCCAGTCTCACCTATCCCAGCGACCACTTCTCACTGGTGGTGGACCTACGGCTGCTGGCGGAGCCGGCGTAGCGGGCAGGGCGGCCCTGACTGTCGGACAGGTGATCACTGATCAGTGAACTGACTCCGTCCCCGGGCCGAGTGTCAGGACGGCGCGCGCGTCTGCGCAGCTCAGTGAGTGTTAGGAAGGTGAGACAGCGTGCCCCGCTCAGTGCCACTGGTACAGCTTGTTTCCTCAGTGTGCATACTTGCCGGTTGATATTCTGAATGTAGACAGCCTAAGCATATTTAAGAAGTGACTTACTGGTGGAATAGCCATGACAGGCAGTGTTGTGAAAGGTTTGGAAGGGGGTCCGTCATTTCCAGATCTGACAGTCTACAGCCCACTGGGATGGTCCACGGTCGGCGCCCTATTGTGGCTGCTGAGGTCGGATCATACTGCTGTATTGACCCAGGGTGATGACCGCGCCGGGGTGTACTGCAGACCGGGGTGTGCCTGCTCCGTGCCCGGGCGGCGCTCGGCAGCGGCGTCTTCGACTGGACCGCCGGCAGCCCGAGGGGTGGACACTGAACCGCTCTGTGTCCCAGACTCCGACCCCCGATGATTCACAGTCGTGTTCCTCGTTTGAAGCGTGTCCTCACGGCGCTCGTGTGTTGGCCCGAAACTGGTCTAGTCACCCGATCTGGTCGGGTTTCGGCACCTCAGTGATATGCGGCGACTAGCTGAGACTAGATGTGCGGTGTGGTAGTAGCTTAGCATGACACGCCTTCTCTGTGCCTCCTCGCGTACAGACGGCGGCGCCAGATCTATATACAATCGCGCACTGATTTATTTTTAGATTTGCTTAGATCTGAATGCCCGAACTTCCTTTGTAGTAATATTTGACTTGGTTTGTGTGCTGTGCAATACTTTACCTCCGGATTCAGGGGATATTGCTCGAAATGCTTCAATCATCGTGATGCATTTCAAGTCGTATTTTCTTCGCATACAATCAAACTTTTATTGAGCTTTAGTGAAATGCACGAAATCAAATAAGTTATTCAAGTATTTGTGTGTGTAGAGGACATGACAGTAGCGCCTGAGATCGCTCGCATGGATCCGTGGATGATGACTTTTGTCGCATGAAATAAAGAAAATACAAGATGACATATATTTTATATGCGGCATGTAAGCAGTGATGAAATGTAATTTAATTCTATAGTAATTTTAGTTTGTTTGCGGCCAAAAATGTTCCCAAACGTTATGTTCGGCCTACTTCAGCATATCAACAGAATAAAGCGATGTCTCGGATCTCCATCCGCATCTCCAATCTCTCAAGAGATATCATGCCCCGACCTGACCTCGACAGTGACGATATATCGACACCACGAACACACACACCCACGACAATGAGAATATGAGCCCACCAGCACTCGCGACATAAGCGCACTCATAACACTTCCCACAATCCAACAAGTGAAAACAGTCACAAAATCAAACACTATCACGCCTGCTTTTTCACCCTTTTCACTTTGCCTGCCTTCTTCCCACTTCCTTTCGCCTGCTTTCCCTCTCCGGCACCGTCATCGTTTCGTTTCCGTTTGGCGGCGCCCTTCTCTTTGTTCTCCAGCACTCGCTCAGCCTCCTCCGGGCGCATACCTTCCATGATCAGGTCCTTGAGCTTGTTGATGCGCCGTCGCTCGACGATCTCGCTGTCTGTGACCTTCAGCTCCTGCGCCCTCTTGGTCACCTGCACCTCGGTCAGAATGGCCAACACCTCCTTGTCTGTGGGGACGAGGGGACGAGAAATTCAGAGACGGCCGGCAGGCCGTGCGCGCACCGGGGGTGTAACGATTGGGTCAGTGGGATTAGTTGCAGCGAGTTGCTAGTTAGATTAAATGTGAGACGCCCATCTTCTCTCACGCACTCATCAATAAACGTTATTTTTTCATTGCGTAACAACTGCAAATCACGCATGACATTTTCGGACGCAATTATGAATTGCCCTTGACCAACATCGACCTCCCTCCCCATTAGATTTCCATCTCGTCCACCCACTGATCGCCCACTGACCACGCTCTCCCTCGACCACCCATTGTACCCTCTGTGCGATCCCTCCATCCACCCCCCTCCCCTGTCCACCCCGGTCTGCGTACCGTCCACCTCACGCTGCTGCAGCTCGCGCCCGATGGTGGTCTCAATCTCCTTCATCAGGTGCAGGTCGGTCGGTGTGACCAGCGAGACGGCCTGGCCGCGTCGGCCGGCACGCGCCGTCCGGCCCACGCGGTGGATGTACTCCTTGGGGATGGTCGGCAGGTCGTAGTTGATAATCATATCGACCAGCGGGATGTCCAGTCCTGTGTAATCAAGCGAGGGCTGACGTCACGGCTGATGGGATCAGCGGTGATGACAGTCTTGGTAGCTATACAGCGCACTGAACTTGAAATACAAGGCATCATTTTTTACGTCGAAGACAATCGAACAATATTGCCGAAGAAAGTAATAACCCGGTTACTGTCTATAGTCAATCCATCTTCTGATTGAGAATGCATAATGGTTAACAAGACAGAACCCGATCGACGGACTTTTGACAGTCCTGTCCCCGCCGCCTATTGGCGGTGGCTCGTTCAAAGTCGCGCTGTCTGCTCGCTCGACCTCACCTCTGCTACCGACGTCGGTGGTGAACAGCACCCGGATCGTGTTCGATTTGAACTTGGCCAGCGAGGCGGTCCGCTCGCGCTGTTTGATCTGAGAGTGCAGCGCGATCGCCGGCACGCCCATCCTGTTCAGCGTCATCGACAGCACCGTGCTCGCCCTAACGACAACGGAAATCGAAAACATTAGCACCTCATACACTTAAGGAGTACGGTGACGCTAACATAGTATCGAGGGCAGGCACGGCTCACTACATGGATTCACTACAGCTGTGGATGCACCTGTAGGAAACACTCATTACACGATAATCAGACACCCTTTGTCTTTGCATAAGTCGTAAAAAAATGAATTAGTTAAACAAGGAGCAATCATGTCAGGCCTGCGTAAGAGTTAGATTTGACCCTTCTACCTAGCTGAGCGTGCTCCGTCCACTGTCCAGCTGACCTGCACTTGTTGGTGAAGACGATCACCTGTCCGGTCTTGTTCTCCAGAAACTGATGGACCAGGTGAACCAGCGTGGGGTCCTTGACGTCGCGCGCGCACAGCACATACTCCTGCAGCAGCTGGTCCACGGTGGCCACCTCGCCCATGTTCTCGTAGTAAAAACACTGCAGGAGAGACAGAGTGGAGAGATGGTCAGTCATATGACGGTGGGTCGGGAACGTGGATGTGAGAGGATAAGGGAGCGACAGCGTGCGGGATAACAGTGTGTGGGCTCAAGAGGTTATTCAGGCTCTCGGTATAATCGCTTCCACTCTACTCGTCCAGTCCTTGATGTTCCGGCGGCAGACCCGAACTATCGGCGGCACGCGCTCACCTCTCTTTCCCCGCCCATCCACTGCCCTCCCCGCGGCGCGGTACTCCCGCGCTCACCTCGTTATTAGCGATGCTCTCCAGCTGGCGGAGCGTGTCGTTGCACGTGGCGCTGAAGAGCAGCGTCTGCCGGCGCTTCGGCAGCGCCGCCATGATGGTGGCCAGGTCGGCGTCGAAGCGGCCGGCGATCAGGCGGTCCGCTTCGTCCAGTACCAGGAAACGGACCCGCTTCAGTGAGAACGTGTTACAGGCAGTCAGGTGGTCCACCAGCCTGGCAACAGGCGGGTCAGAGCCGTCAGTCAACAAGTCTGGGAGACTGGAGAGAGACAGCCAGATGGGTCAGAGGGAATTAAGGGACTCCCAGCATTTAGCACAATTATAATGTCTGCGCTAGGACAGAATGATATAAAATACAAAGAGTTGATTTACCATTCATGAACCACTACTGAGCCTCAACTACGCGAAGTTTGGGCGAGTCCCTCCGAGTACGTAAAATTATCGTTAATGAAATCAAAATGATTGTTCGAGTTCCTCACCTGCCGGGCGTGGCGATGACGACGTGGGGCCGCTGCTGCAGCAGCGTGCCCTGCTCCACCATGTCCTGGCCGCCGATCACGACGGCGTCCTGCAGCCCGATCGGCCGTCCCACCAGCCGAAACTGGTCGGCGATCTGCAGCGCCAGCTCCCGCGTCGGCGTCAGCACCAGCGCGAAAATACCTGAGCGCGCCGCAAGGGGCGTCAGCGGGGTGGTCGTTCGTTTTCAGAGGCCTGTGAGGGTTTGCTTACTTATTGAATAGCACACAAAATAGTTGGATAACCCAAAGTACTAATGAATTGTTTGCAATAACATAGGCAAGTACTGCAACTACAGTTTGATAAATTTGTGTGGTCAGGGCTGTCCATCACAAATGATGATTATGCTTTATGCTTACAAGCAGCATTGAGTTCAACAATACAGTGACTGACTGCACAGAATATACCTAGAGCCTAAGCAACTGCTTTAAGAGACTACTTCATATTGATGATCGCCTATGGCAGCATATCTCATCAGCTCACCAAATGGGTCCTGGCTGAGCTTTTCCAGGATAGGTAAGGCAAATGCCAGGGTTTTCCCCGATCCAGTCTTGGCACAGGCAATGCAGTCATATCCCTCCAATATTTTTGGTATTGTTTTCAGCTGCACATCTGTGGGAGTTTTCAGCCCTGCAAAATCGAAATAGTTTCAAAATCAAGCACAAACCAAACATGCAGTACATGTGTAATAAAGGCTAAACCTGTTATGTCTATAAAGTACACACAATTCTGCCTCCATCAGAGCTACTTCTATCCAATGTAAACAACATGAGGCAGAGCATGACATGAAATGATCATTTACTAACTAAATATATCAAATGAGAGCTGGCTGAGCTGGGACTACTAAGTTTCTGGAATTTCAGTGGTGAACAATGAACAGGAAAGACAGTATCTAGCCAAGTAACACATTCAGACTTCAGAGTCACCTGTTATGGTGAATTTAGTCATCCTACATTCTATTGTGTACCTATCAGAAAATCCTTCAGCAGCTGAAAATGGTCAAGAGGACACAAATCAGGTCCTGCATGGAGTCATAGCTTGCCCAATAAATTTGTCATTGCCATGAACAAAACTTTGCCATGAGATGTAGAAAACTTTCCAGAATATCAGGCACAAATATATACAAGCCATGGGCCCATGGTCATTGGCCAGGGCTGCAGAGTCATAGTTGAAGTCAGTCAGAGTCAAGTTGTGAATAGAGTTGGAGTCAGCCAATTTTGGGAAAAAACAATGCTAGTCATCAAAAATCCAGACTCAGAAGCTCTGCCAGGAGTCAGAGTCAGAGTTGAAGTCAGCCTGAGCCAGTCAACAGTTTTGCCTGGAGTCTGAGCCAGTTTTTCAAAGCTGGAGACAAAATCAGAGGCACTGAAAATCCATTGACTCTACAGACCTGGCCATGGCTGAAAAAAATGGGACACTGCTTCAAGCAGTCTGCGTCAAGGTGGGGCCAATGTGTCCAATGCTAATTGCTGCACTGCAACTCACCAAGAGTGTTGAGCTGATTTAGAGCCCAATCAGATAGCTTCAAATTCTTAAATGACATGGTTATAGCTGGAAAAGAAAAGGAGTGTGAAAGCATCTCATACATTAAAAAATGTTGCCTAGCCTATTGTGTGCCTCTTATTTTATCACTTCTATTGAATACTTTGTGAAGTAAGACAACACTAACAAAAAAATGGAACACATGCCAACAGCCAATTTCAACAACAACAGAAATACGCCAAATATCGGCGTATACCAAGCATCTTGGCAATCTCACCTCCACAGAAAACACGTGCACGCAAACGAATCCAAAACGAATCGCTATCACAAATCAAAATGTTATGTAACGGAAGTTAGCAGGGATTCAGCAGGGGTTCAGCAGGGATTCAGCAGGGATCGACGGCCCCTACGATTTCGCTGAATTTTGGTGGAGAGGTGCAGAATGGTGTCCTCTATCGAAAATCCTAGTGCCAAAATGCGGGGAATCCATCAGGGGGGCCACAAATCCCAAAAAACAGTATGCCCTCAGGGCACAATCGACGAACTTTGAAAATCCTACTTCTAGCCGTCAAAACAGCTAAAAATGCACGTCATTCGAAAGAGGACAAAATTTTACGTACAACGGTACCAAATTTAGGGGGCTAGCGCCCCCCTGAACCGAACAAAACAGCTTCAAATATATGGGCCCGGGAGTATGCCCTCGGGGCATAAATAAACGTTTTCAACAATTTCAGGCCTATAACATCGACAAAATCCAGCAATATGCACATCATTGGAAAGAGCGTAATTTCCCAAACAAAAAACCCAAGTAACATTTTTCGATGGGGCCCACCTGGGGCCCACGGGACCCAATTGAAATTTGGGGCCCAATGGGGCGGCCCCTACGATTTTCTTCAAAATTTGCACAGACACTCTCCTGGGCCCCCTCTTCAATCTGGCTGAAGAAACCTACCGGGGAATCCAAAGGAAGGGGCCCAAAGAGGGCCCCAAAGAGGCCCTTTCTAAGTATTGCCCCTAATTTTGCGACCAACCCCGGCAATATGCACATCATTGGAAAGAGCGTAATTTCCCAAACAAAAAACCCAAGTAACATTTTTCGATGGGGCCCACCTGGGGCCCACGGGACCCAATTGAAATTTGGGGCCCAATGGGGCGGCCCCTACGATTTTCTTTAAAATTTGCACAGACACTCTCCTGGGCCCCCTCTTCAATCTGGCTGAAGAAACCTACCGGGGAATCCAAAGGAAGGGGCCCAAAGAGGGCCCCAAAGAGGCCCTTTCTAAGTATTGCCCCTAATTTCGCGACCAACCCCGGCAATATGCACATCATTGGAAAGAGCGTAATTTCCCAAACAAAAAACCCAAGTAACATTTTTCGATGGGGCCCACCTGGGGCCCACGGGACCCAATTGAAATTTGGGGCCCAATGGGGCGGCCCCTACGATTTTCTTCAAAATTTGCACAGACACTCTCCTGGGCCCCCTCTTCAATCTGGCTGAAGAAACCTACCGGGGAATCCAAAGGAAGGGGCCCAAAGAGGGCCCCAAAGAGGCCCTTTCTAAGTATTGCCCCTAATTTTGCGACCAACCCCGGCAATATGCACATCATTGGAAAGAGCGTAATTTCCCAAACAAAAAACCCAAGTAACATTTTTCGATGGGGCCCACCTGGGGCCCACGGGACCCAATTGAAATTTGGGGCCCAATGGGGCGGCCCCTACGATTTTCTTCAAAATTTGCACAGACACTCTCCTGGGCCCCCTCTTCAATCTGGCTGAAGAAACCTACCGGGGAATCCAAAGGAAGGGGCCCAAAGAGGGCCCCAAAGAGGCCCTTTCTAAGTATTGCCCCTAATTTCGCGACAAACCCCGGCAATATGCACATCATTGGAAAGAGCGTAATTTCCCAAACAAAAAACCCAAGTAACATTTTTCGATGGGGCCCACCTGGGGCCCACGGGACCCAATTGAAATTTGGGGCCCAATGGGGCGGCCCCTACGATTTTCTTCAAAATTTGCACAGACACTCTCCTGGGCCCCCTCTTCAATCTGGCTGAAGAAACCTACCGGGGAATCCAAAGGAAGGGGCCCAAAGAGGGCCCCAAAGAGGCCCTTTCTAAGTATTGCCCCTAATTTTGCGACCAACCCCGGCAATATGCACATCATTGGAAAGAGCGTAATTTCCCAAACAAAAAACCCAAGTAACATTTTTCGATGGGGCCCACCTGGGGCCCACGGGACCCAATTGAAATTTGGGGCCCAATGGGGCGGCCCCTACGATTTTCTTCAAAATTTGCACAGACACTCTCCTGGGCCCCTCTTCAATCTGGCTGAAGAAACCTACCGGGGAATCCAAAGGAAGGGGCCCAAAGAGGGCCCCAAAGAGGCCCTTTCTAAGTATTGCCCCTAATTTCGCGACAAACCCCGGCAATATGCACATCATTGGAAAGAGCGTAATTTCCCAAACAAAAAACCCAAGTAACATTTTTCGATGGGGCCCACCTGGGGCCCACGGGACCCAATTGAAATTTGGGGCCCAATGGGGCGGCCCCTACGATTTTCTTCAAAATTTGCACAGACACTCTCCTGGGCCCCCTCTTCAATCTGGCTGAAGAAACCTACCGGGGAATCCAAAGGAAGGGGCCCAAAGAGGGCCCCAAAGAGGCCCTTTCTAAGTATTGCCCCTAATTTTGCGACCAACCCCGACAATATGCACATCATTGGAAAGAGCGTAATTTCCCAAACAAAAAACCCAAGTAACATTTTTCGATGGGGCCCACCTGGGGCCCACGGGACCCAATTGAAATTTGGGGCCCAATGGGGCGGCCCCTACGATTTTCTTCAAAATTTGCACAGACACTCTCCTGGGCCCCCTCTTCAATCTGGCTGAAGAAACCTACCGGGGAATCCAAAGGAAGGGGCCCAAAGAGGGCCCCAAAGAGGCCCTTTCTAAGTATTGCCCCTAATTTCGCGACCAACCCCGGCAATATGCACATCATTGGAAAGAGCGTAATTTCCCAAACAAAAAACCCAAGTAACATTTTTCGATGGGGCCCACCTGGGGCCCACGGGACCCAATTGAAATTTGGGGCCCAATGGGGCGGCCCCTACGATTTTCTTCAAAATTTGCACAGACACTCTCCTGGGCCCCCTCTTCAATCTGGCTGAAGAAACCTACCGGGGAATCCAAAGGAAGGGGCCCAAAGAGGGCCCCAAAGAGGCCCTTTCTAAGTATTGCCCCTAATTTTGCGACCAACCCCGGCAATATGCACATCATTGGAAAGAGCGTAATTTCCCAAACAAAAAACCCAAGTAACATTTTTCGATGGGGCCCACCTGGGGCCCACGGGACCCAATTGAAATTTGGGGCCCAATGGGGCGGCCCCTACGATTTTCTTCAAAATTTGCACAGACACTCTCCTGGGCCCCCTCTTCAATCTGGCTGAAGAAACCTACCGGGGAATCCAAAGGAAGGGGCCCAAAGAGGGCCCCAAAGAGGCCCTTTCTAAGTATTGCCCCTAATTTCGCGACCAACCCCGGCAATATGCACATCATTGGAAAGAGCGTAATTTCCCAAACAAAAAACCCAAGTAACATTTTTCGATGGGGCCCACCTGGGGCCCACGGGACCCAATTGAAATTTGGGGCCCAATGGGGCGGCCCCTACGATTTTCTTCAAAATTTGCACAGACACTCTCCTGGGCCCCCTCTTCAATCTGGCTGAAGAAACCTACCGGGGAATCCAAAGGAAGGGGCCCAAAGAGGGCCCCAAAGAGGCCCTTTCTAAGTATTGCCCCTAATTTTGCGACCAACCCCGGCAATATGCACATCATTGGAAAGAGCGTAATTTCCCAAACAAAAAATCCAAGTAACATTTTTCGATGGGGCCCACCTGGGGCCCACGGGACCCAATTGAAATTTGGGGCCCAATGGGGCGGCCCCTACGATTTTCTTCAAAATTTGCACAGACACTCTCCTGGGCCCCCTCTTCAATCTGGCTGAAAAAACCTACCGGGGAATGATGTGCATATTGCCGGGGTTGGTCGCGAAATCAGGGGCAATGCTTAGAAAGGGCCTCTTTGGGGCCCTCTTTGGGCCCTTCCTTTGGATTCCCCGGTAGGTTTCTTCAGCCAGATTGAAGAGGGGGCCCAGGAGAGTGTCTGTGCAAATTTTGAAGAAAATCGTAGGGGCCGCCCCAATGGGCCCCAAATTTCAATTGGGTCCCGTGGGCCCCAGGTGGGCCCCATCGAAAAATGTTACTTGGGTTTTTTGTTTGGGAAATTACGCTCTTTCCAATGATGTTGTTGTGGATCAGCTGCCGCTGTTGACGATCGGCCGTCGCGCGCCGATCCGGTGACCCAGTTTTGTCGATCAGCTGATCGTAATTTGTCGGCCGGCCGCCAGAGGCGCTGTTTGTCCTTCTCGCGACGGACCTGTGTGGCGGCGGGCGGCCGGCTTGTGTGGCCGAGAGTTTTGAGCATTAGTAAGCGGTTACAGTGCTACCTTCGTGTTTAAATTAAGTTTAATAAAGCTCTAGTAATCGTAACATTCAGCGGTGGGATTATAACCGTCGCCGCGTGCCGCAGTCGGCGTGAGCGAAACCGATCAGTGTGCCGAAGATCATCGAAGATGGCGTCGGCCGGCAGCGGGAAGAGCGTTAGCCGGACGTGACGTCACAGGGAAGCTTCGGGACTATTCCGCGGGTGGCGCCACCGGTCAGGTGTGTCATGGCGGCGCCCAGTGTGATGATGTAAACAAACTGAGTGAACGGATACCGGACGGATAATCTGTGTGATACGGGACCGGTGATGGATAACTCGGTGGACACGAGTGCCGGGGCGACTGGGGCACTGAGCCTGCCCCTCCCCGTGTTCGAGTACGCCGAACCACGGCGTTTCTTCAAGCAGTTTCGGCGTTTTGCGAGCTTGAAAAACCTGTCGGGCGTGGTGGCCCTGGACTTGATCTGTTATGCCCTTGGCTCGTGCAGGCGGGCGGCCTGGGTGGCCGACCGGGTTGAGGCAGAAGTACAGGCTGCTGAACGGGATGCTACAGTCAGTGCTGCTGAACAAAAGGTGCTGCATCTCCTGACGCCGGAGGTGATGAAGGGGCAGATCCTTCAAGGGCTGGACCAGCGTCGTCTGCAGCCAGGCGAGACTCCGCGGGAGTACGTAGAAGCGCTGAAGAGTCAGATTCAGCAGGTCATGCCAGAGCTGACAGCTGAGTCTCTGGACCGCATGACCATCGTACAGGCGATTAAGGGTGCGCCAGAGGCCTGGTCGCACAAGCTGGGAGAGGGCGACCTGTCCTCGCTGGACCAGCTGGTGACTCACATGACTCTGCTCCATGGCAAGCAGAGGTCAGCAGCGAGGCGCTGCCAGGAGACTGGAAGATCTGTGAGTCGAAAGTGTTATTCGTGTGGCCAGATGGGACATATTGCCAAACAGTGCAAAGGAGGGAGCCGGTCAGGCGGCTCAAAGGGCATTAAGTGCTATAAGTGCGGAGGTGTGGGGCACATCAGTCGATACTGTGCCAGTGGTGGTAACCGAGGTGG